CCGCCATCAAAGTCGCCGCCCTGGAGCACGCGCACAGTGCCCACCTGCGGGTTGAGCGTCGTGAACGCATACGCGGCGACCTCGGCGCGGCGGTTTGTGAGCGCGTTGAGCAGCGTGTGAGGGCCTTCTGGATGGCGAGGATCTTGAAGAGAAACGGGCGGTTCCCCGTCCTCGCCTCAGGGAAGCAGCCGGCGATCGCGGACCCCACGAGCTCAGCGTGCGCCGCCAGTGTTGGAATATCGATGTCATTCACTGATACGCGTCCACACACGCCCACTGACGTGGCAACACTTCCTATTCAAACCCCACTTCCACTCCTTTCCTCAGTCGTTCACACTCACCCAAACGTCTGAGCTCACAGTAGTACAGATCCAACAGCCAGATGGTCAGACAGCATCTCCTGCGTGCCGAGCAGGCGCGAGGGCAGCGCACCTCGGCATATGGCTTGCGTTCATCAAGCGTGAAGCTGGGGACACCGCTCGCCGCATACTGCGCCGCCTTGGATGCGCGCACCACCTTGCCCCAATCGTATGACTGCGTCCCCGCAGCGATGGGAAACACAGAGGCCATGCGTGAAGTCGTTTTTCGCACGCTCCCCACGTGGCCCACGCACGCCCATGCATGTGCATCCAGCCATCGCCCGTCTCTTTTGAAGAAAGTGATGCAGACATATGCGCGACGGGGCGGGACGTCGATGATTTTCATTAATGACGATGGGATGCAGGTGTGTTGCTATTCATTTTGTTTTTTCTCGACTACGCGCCTCTGCGCACCTCCTCTGTATTCTCTCCCTAGCTTGGGCTATCATCCCAGGTTCTTCCCCCCCGCCGAGCGTCTTGCACGCCAAGCCTTCTATGCTCAACACGGCATCGGCTGGGTCGCACACCCCAAGCACCATTCCCTGCCCAGCCGCCCAAGGCCAAGGCACCCCGCCCCCACCCACGCACTGCGGCTTTGTGCGTGCAGGCCGCTTCAAGAAGGCGAGCAACATGAACTACGGCCTTGCGCTGAGCCTGAAGGTCGAGAAGTTCGTGCTGCAGCTCGTCGAGGAGCAGGAGCAGGAGCTGGAGCGCACGCAGAGGGCGATAGCAGCGGGGGAGAGCGGGGTGGGTGTGGCGGCGGCAGGTGCGGGTGTGGGCGCGAGCTCGAACTTGGCACGCTCAGGCGCGACCACGCTCACGACGACGACGTTGAGCAGTGCGCTGATGGCTGTGGATGTGGAGCTCGACATCGAGTGCGCACTGCACCTGGCGGTCGAGGAGACGTTTGAGGAGAATTGAAAACTCATAGCTATACAACCTAACATTCACTACAAATTTCATGATCTTCAGTGATTTGCCTCATATTATTCAGATCTCAGGCCAGTGATATTCAGTTGCTGCATCTCTGAAATGTGGTGATAGAACCACGGGGTTGTAAGTGACTATCTCATGGGAACCCAGTGGTTGTCGACTCGAAATGCCTGGTTCAATCCATTGGTCTTCCGTTGTAGGATCCCTGAATACCCATGAGTCAACCCCTGAAACCAACTCATTGAAACGAAACTTTTTCCACTGAAACCGATTCATTGAATTTTCAACGGGTTCTATTGGTATTTACACTAGCTAGTATGGTTTATATACTGAATCCTCAGTGGGTCCACCCAATAGGATTCATTGGGTTGACTACCCACAGTGATTCAGGGGCGCTACTCCGATTGAGCTGCGGCTAAACTACTGATGGACAAGTGTTGCACCGAATAAGACAACGTGTACTCGGTATTCAGTACTCAACGCTTTACTCCATGTGCACTCGAATCCTCGATTATAATATGAAGTGATTTGAGTCTGCACGAGGCCAGTATGATATCGAGGCCTAGTACTACGTCTACTTCGTTTGCAAGAGGATCGACCGGACAAAAGGCGTGGCCATAAAGATTGACTATTAATGTGCATGAACTCCCTTAATTAGCGTGTATCAGAAACTCGATCAAGAGCCATGCATGCCCAGAAGTAGAAACCGGTGTACTAGATCTGCAGTGTAAGACGCGTCTCAAGCCGAATGATACAGCGTAATTAAACAATACAGCACTACTCTCCTACTCTCATAATTCTGACTACGCAGGTCAAAATCCACGAGGACACCACATGGAGGCCACGTGCGCACATTATAGATTGTTTCCGGGTCATCATGATCGATAAAACAGCTCCAAAAGTTAAAAAAGATGAGGAAGAGCGACACCAGTAAGAACATGCAATTGAGGGTGAAAAGTAATGCGAATGACGTTAATGTGTTTAAAAGTTAGAGACCATGAGCTCTAGTATGATGTGGATGCGGGAACCAATTCGCGAGCTAAGTTAGTGCATCCGCATCGATGTCGGGCTCGGTGTCGCCGTATGAGTCGGCCGCATCCTCGTGTGCGGCAGGACTCTCCTCGCGATCTGATTCCCGTCGCCCTTCCGTCGTGTCCGCCTCCACCCGGCGCCTCCCCTCCGCCTCATTGTCCCCTTCTTCTCCAACCCATAGCTTGGCTTCTTCGGGGCTTAAAACTTTACTTCCAATGGCCACCCCATGCTTCCACCGTCGCGCGCCCGTCTCCGCACCCACGTTTAAGCTTGCCTCTGCGCCCAGACCAGACCCTACATCCCACCCAAGCACCTCGCCCTGGTCCATCCGCGTCCCCGTAACAAACGTGTCAACGCCGAGACCCAAATTGCTTCCGCTTCCGGACGCAGTCGAGGGAGATGGGGGGCCATGGGGCGGGCTTAGGAAAGAGGACGGGGCGGGGGCAGCTAGCGCGGCACGTCCCGCGACTAGGAGATCGTCCAGGAGCGTCTTCAGCCGCTTGAAGCTCTCGTCGCCTTCATTCCCTTCACCTGTTTCTTCCTCGTCCTCGCCTGACTCCTCCTCCTCTGCGACCCCATTGCCGTCCTCATCCCGTTCTTGCTCAGTCAAGAGCCTGAAATGCCCTGGTGGCATGGCAAGCCGTGTTTCCCTCAACCTTCGCCGTAGCTCGCGTATTTCGCGCGCCTGTCGTAGTTTAGATGCTTCGAGGGCCGCATTGATAGTGAGTAGAGAGCGTGTCGTAATCTCGAGGTCGGCAATCTGATAGAAAGGAACCCAAATCGAACGGTCTTTAAGCTCCCAGATGGAAGACCATCGAATGTGTGTCAACGCACCTTGCGATTCGATTTAGCTTCCGCTCGCACGTCGTCTTCTGGGTCATCCTCAGGAGGGGACTGTAGCCTTCGAGTTCTTGCCTCATCGCCGGAACTCTCCCTCCCATCGGTACTGCGATCATCCCGCTCCGCCGATCGACTACTCGAGGCCAATTCCGGCTCGCCAGCAACACTAGACCCCGATGTCCATCCTCGTCCCCGTCCCCGGCCGCCGGAGATTCTCGTGCCGGGACGCACTCGTGCTACTAGCGTGCGATTTGGCCGTGGACTTGGAGGCCGATCGTTCAACGCCGACATGGGTATGGATTCAGATCGTGCATGGCTAGTGAACGGAGAAGAAGGTAGCCCCGTGCTCGTGGAGTGCGAGTGGGCGCTAGACGCCGACGCCGACGCCGAGGAGTGTGAAGAGAATGAAACATTGGATGCAGGCGGGGAGGTTGGAAGTGGTACGAGTTGCGGCTGTTCGTGGGATACAGATGGGGGCACGGGCTGGGCAGAATGAGATTGATGGACAGAGAAGCTGGCAGAGGGACGACGTGATGCAACAGTTGTAGTTCGTGTGCGTGGCGCACGGTTTGTAGGAGGAAAATGGGGCGTAACAGAAGAGGATGGGGGTGATGGGGGTGAGAGAATCGTCGATAGCGATGCGGGTGCTGGCCTGGCAATACCGGAGACCTTAGACTTGATGCGAAACGAACCCGAGCCAGGGTCGACGTTCACTGAGGGGGAATAATCCCCGTTGGGTATCCTGTTTGTATCCCTGCGCGGTAAGGGCGTCGCCGGTGCAGATGTAGTCCTCCCCGGAGCGTCCGCGGATGAGGAAAGCACGGAGGAGATGCTACCATGCCGGGCGCGATCTGCAGGTGGCAGCTTGGTAGAGGCCTTGGAGAACGAAGCACGGACGGTCGTAGGTCTTAGCTGGGGCTGGAAATTCGACGGAGACGCGGGACGCATCTTCGCTGGTGACGGCGACCGACGAGCTGTCGAGCCTATCTGGGGGCACAGAGCTCCCCTGAAGGTCGAACTCGCGCCTCCGGTCGCGTTGTTTGAGCCATGCATATTGGAGGAAGTCCGCTCACGGGCAGTACTGCTGATCTTTGCTCGCACAACGACTTGAGGTGGAGGTGATAATGACGGGGAACTTGACTGGCTGATGTCGCGGCCATTGATACTCTGAGCTGAAAGTTTGGCGGTTACCTAGTGCAGTAGTGTATGTGAGGGAAATACTCGAGTACCTCTGACGAGCTTACCTTTCTCTTTGGGGCCTCCATCGCCGTCCAGACGACAAGAAGCTATATCGCAAGCATATGGGATTATGTAAGCCGGGAAAATACGGCCGGTGCCCGAAACTATGTCGACTTGGTTTGTCGATTATTCGTGTTTGAGAATATTAATGAAGTATATAAGTATTAAGTGAACTACAGTACTCGGCCCATCTGCTCGTCGATCCTTCAGATATCAATCACTACTAGCCACACTACTCATTACATGTCCCACGAATCGCTGAATCCATGGTCTTCTATTACGAGTAATCCATCGGGCAACTGCGGTGCGCAGAGCTGCAGTAACGGGCCTCATGCATCCAGACAATCAATGAAAAACCATCGAAGGTTGAGATGGCGACCCGGGTAGCGCGGCCTACGGACAAAGGCCGTGCGGGACTCAAAGATGGCCTGTGCATGTCATATATCCCTGAAATACGCAGCAGTCTTCACGGTGGTTTTGATCGTGGATGGTCCAAATTTAACTGTAAGTCCGGTACTCTGCAGTCCATGTCAAAACAAGCAAAAGTATGACGGGTGAAGTAAAACGGAGTTCCAAATGTGGAAAGACCGCAAAAAATGACCTCAGCCCGGATTGAACGGACGACCTTGTGGAATAACCATACCTGGAATCACACGCTCTACCACTGAGCTATGAGGTCACTTACTCACAAGGTCTTACGAGCCTACACAGATCTTCACACGACAATCACTTACCCTCTGAGGACTCATTCCTCAACGCTGAGCTCAGTACTTCATTGACGTTGGACAGGAAAACCCTCACATTGCATTCCTTGTAGCAGGCTTTCACGTTTCAAACGGAATTCACCTCGATTATAGACTTTATGACTGTCTGTTACGCCAGTAAGTTAGCGGATCACTTGGCAGGGGGGCACTGGGCGTTCTCAGCGGCTTATGACAGGGTGGAGTTCTTGAGTGATAGATCTTGAGAAAGCCAACGTTCAAGGGAGTTGTTGGTATATAAGTAGGAGTCGTCCAATGCCTTTCGAACTCCGGAGCTCCGACACTGAACGCCACCGCGTAACAAAACCCTGGCATCTGCAGACTGTCTTTATTACGGGTTTTGTAGTCTAATGCGTTGAGCCTTACATCTGAGTGAGTCGCTCTCGTACAATGCATCGTATCCCAAATGGTCCCTATAAGGACAACTTGCTGAATCAGATTATATTTCGCTGTTCAGCTCCGCCTCCGAAGTACGATTGTGCATCCGGTATTGGTTTTGGTGTTTATCAGAATTACCGATCAACAGCGCTCTTTCCGTGACCCACAAACACTTCTGCCAGATGGACCGTATGATCCAGAAGCCAAGGCTCCAAACGGCTGCTATAGTTGTCCTTCTAGCTGTCGGTTTGCCCCTCTCGACCCAGATCACGGCATCTTCGCTGGCGCTCCTTCTCGTCGTTTCTCCCCTCCTTTTCATACTACTTGTGCTCTTATTCTTGTTTATTCATGTACTTCTTGGTTTCACACTGGATACTATGTACCCCTCCCCTCCTCGACCCGCACGGCCTAGTGCACCACGACCTTTGGCTTTTTCAACCCCCGCAGCATGGCAAGCTGTCATCACCCGCTCACAGTGGTCGACGCATTCCCCAAAAGATCTGCCTCCTTTGGCCCCTGCCTATCCTGTACTCTCCTCGTCCCTGAATGAGATTCTCATCATGATCGTACGAGATTTTGTCTTGGAATGGTACAAGAAGCTCTCGCCTTCCCCCTCTTTCCCTACGGCAGTTTCCACCACTTTGCACGCATCCATAGATACATTTATCGGTCGCGTATCTACCCTCGATCTGCCGTCCTTAGTTGTCCACCGCGTTCTTCCTAAAGTCACCGCTCACGTAGAGCAGTTTCGCGAATCCGAGATCGCGCTTCGGGGTGCAGCCTTAGAACGACATCTGACTGAATCTCAGGAGCTAGACCTGCTGCTCGCGGGAAGATATGCTGGACCACGTGGGAAACTACACCCGGCGGTTGAGAATCTGGCATCCTCTGTGACCAAGCAATCCGAGGAGGCCCATCTCCGCGACCTCATTGACCGAGCCCTGCCGTTTGTATTGCCTCCCGATGCCGCTGCAAGCAAGGCGGTGCGGATCGTGGTGAGAGAAATTGTGACCAACACCGTATTAGGGCCTGTTATGGACATGCTTGCCGACCCTGACTTCTGGAACAGGGCCGTTGACCAACTGGCACGTCCTTGCTTGATTATTTCATTCGGGTGCTGACTTTACACAAAGGCTGGAGAGGCGATACGACAACAGTATGCCATCTTTGTAGAATTTTGATACAACTGGACTAACTTGATCAAATCAGGAAGCTCATCTCGAAAGTACGTCGGATATTAGAAACTCAAGGCCCTGAGTCGCGCGTCCGACCTGCATCGACCGGTCACCCTCGGTCAGAAGATATCAATCTACGCACTGACCCACGTCGTTTCGAGTCCTTCCTACGAAGCATAAATCGATGTGATTCTCTTCTCGACGCCAGGCGATTAAAGAATGATATCGTCGGTGAGGTGCGCCGAACACGTGCTTTGCTCGGTGAGTGATTTCCCATATTTTACATCTTACTCAATAGACAGTGGAAACTATTAAGCAAACCACGAGAAGGATGATTGGATTGACGGGGAAAAAACGGAGGATATCGTCGCATATCTCGATAGACTGTACACCGCGAAGCGTAAGGTTGAGACACGCATAGCCGTCTTAGGAGGCGTGGATGATTCAGTAAGCATTCCGCCACAGCCCACATGTATTCTAGACCCATGTTCCAATTTAGCGTCACTCTGTATACCACGATTCCAGTCCTACCTCAGCCGCCCTCTCGCGTCTCACTCTCCGTGACGTATTGATCAATCCGAGCTCGCTGTCGTATTTTATGGAGTTCATGGATCGGAGAAATCGTTCGATATTAGTGCAGTTCTGGCTCACGGTGGAAAGCTTCAAGAATCCTCTGGAGTCGGTCGACTCTTCTGACGAAGATTCGTCCAAGGACCTTCTTAAGAGTGGAAACAGTCAGCAGCTACCGTGAAGGAGGACATGACGATGATTTACGACCTCTATTTCTCCACTGCTTCGTCTTCAGCCACCCTGTCTGCCGTCTCACAAAGGCATGTTGACGCCATCCGGTCTTTTGTCCTCGACGCCTCTGCTACCTCATCCGTTACGGGGAGACGGGTACGCAAGAGTGTGCTCCGCGCACAGAAGGAAGTCGAGGAGGAATTGGAACATGACTTTGAGGCCTTTGAACGCAGTGACTTGTGGTTCCGCGCGGTGGGCGATCTGGAACCACGATCGTCTGCGAGGAAAGGCGGCCACTCTGTTTCCGTCTCACCTACCATGACTCACCGAGGGCCAGCGCCCCCTGCCCTAGGTCTCCCGAGGCGGCCCATGTGAAGTCTGCTCTATCGCGTGGCGGCGGTCGCACCGGACGACTCCGCCTCCGTCCCAAGTTCTTGTTGCCGTCTGCGCGAAAAAGCGAAACATCCCCTGTTGCTTCCAGTCCGGAACTGTTTCCAAGAACTGAGTCATGGGACTCGACCTCATCGATGTTGGGAGGGCCGTACATTGATACTACTCATCCAAGGGCGCCTGGACCCTCACAGCTGGACCTTCTCATTTCACCAACATCAGAGGATGGTCCTGATGGATCGCGTCTTCCACTGTTTGACGAGTCTCAGGAGTCGCCACCGTTACAGTCACCCATAGGCCAAGAGGATCCTAGCATTGAACGCATGGAGGCCATACAGGCTGCATTGACAGACATCATAGCCGATGACAAACGTCGCGATGAAAGGTCAAGGAGCTCTGTGTTTCCGGGTGAACACACACTGGGCCAGAATCGAGGCGATGATCGGGATTCTAGTAAACAGTTCGAGGACGGAAGCCGCCAGGGAATCTTTGACAGCTATGGGGACGAAGACCAGCGGGAGGTCACTGTAGATGACCCGGAAGATCGGGCATCAGGCAGCTTTGAACTCGCTGGACCTGGAGACCTCCAGCTTTCGTACGACATTGAGCGGCTGGGCGAGAAAATTGCGAAGCTGCAATCTCAGGATGACATGCTCGACACGCTCATTCGAAAGGCGGAACTCACCGGTGACGCCCAAGAGCTTCGGTTGCTGAACAAATCCAAGTCAGCCATGCAGAGAGAATTGCGGGAGCTCACGTTCCAGAGAATGCAATACCAACAACAGGAAGCGGATAATCGCCTCATCCCCGAGCGTACTCGTGTCTCAATATCAAACTCAGCCGTGAGTGAGGATGATGGAAAGTCAGTAGTGCGATATCTTGTAGAAGTTCAGCAGCTAGCTGTTGACGGCACTTTCTCGTCCGGATGGGTCGTTGCGAGGCGGTATAATGAATTCTTCAACATGCATCAGAGCTTAAAGGATAAGTATCTTGTCGTGAGGAATCTTGAATTCCCAGGCAAACGATTGGTTACGTCCTTATCCAGTAGCTTTGTCGATACACGCAGGATCTCGTTAGAGAAATACATGCAGGTAAGTGCTGTATGTGAAATGTCCCGCGGACGCGTCACGTATCATGTTCTCTAGAATCTTATTGCTGTGCCGATGGTATGCGAAAGCGACGAGCTACGCGCCTTCCTCTCCAGACAGGCCCCTCTTACTGTCACACCCATTGATAAAAGTGGTAAACCTCAGCCGACATTCCCAGGTCAGACAATCGTGCGCACAGTATATCGCTCGGTGGCAGAGAGCATCGATGATATGCTGTTTGGTCCATCGATGTTGGAAGTTATGATTCAGCGGCTAACTCGACAGGCTGCTGAATTTGCTGGTATTGTTGGTGTGGGGATGACTGATGAGGATCTTGTAGCTCAGGCGTTTAAGCTATCCGGGAAGTTGCTCCCAGAGGAGACACTTCTGAGGTTTCCTGGTGTGTTAAAGCCCCTCGACGGAGAGACGAGCGCATCGAGCTTTTCTGGACCAATCTGTGACCTCATACTAGCCGTGTTCGAGCTCGACAAGAAAAACAATTGGCTGCGGCGACAAGCCATTGTTATTATTCTCCAGCAAGTATTAGGTGGCACGATTGAGCGGTTCGTCAATCTTTATTATGATCAAGATGTAAACTGATCCACTTTTCTTGTAGTAAGCTACGGGACAATGTTCGGGCATATATGGACGAAAGCCATTTACTGCGGTTTTTGAACATCTTCCGCGATAACTTATGGCCTGGGGGGCATCTCAGACCGCCAAGCGTTCCCAGAACCCCCGAGGAGAAGGCTCGCACTCGCGACGAGGCGAATCGCAAGCTTTCCGCTCTCGTGCCAGGTTTGTGATTCATAACCTAATATATGCCACGTTTGATTCTGTCCCAGATTTGGCTGCAAATATGATTGGACGATCGAACGCGCGTCGAGGTGCTCGGAGAATTTTTGCCGTACTCCAAAATCGAAGACTTAATCAACACATGGTGTATACCATAGTGGACGAGGTATGTCTTATAGTTATGGATAGATTCGTATGGTAACATGGGTCTACAGGTCTTCGCTGCCCTATTTCCCGAGGCTGTTCAAACCTCGTGACCGTGGATCTAGATGCTGTATTATATATGCGACATGCCCGTCTCATGTGCGAAGCAGTTGATTTACCATTGTATTTCATTGATCGAAACCAAGT